CTCGCCATTGTCGTTCTGAGGTAATTGGGAAAGCGATGCTGGAAGCGTTTACACCGCTAAACATTATCGGCTCCTGGAGATCGACAGGCATGTGGCCTGTGAAAAAGCAAAGAGTCTTAGAATCGTTGAATATGGACTGTTCGAAGGATACTGTGCTGGAATCGAAGTACGCAAAGTTCATCGCCGCCCAAAACCCACTGCCACTTGAAGAAATTGAAGAGCAAGGGTTGCGGCGCCTCAAAAACAACGGTCTAGATGTACACGGCTTTCGAATGTACTCAATCGCGTATAGGGACCTCGTAAAGCCAACCCCAATTAAAGGAAGATCTCCAGACAAAGTGGTCGTCAAGCTTGGAGCTAAGAGGCTGCTTACGCACGCAGACTGTATTGCCGAAGAAGAACGCAGAGCCGAACTCACACGTGAGTCCATCGAGACCTCGCTAATGAAGTTTGAAGATTCATGCAGTAAAAAACGTGAGAAAGAGCACCGTAAACGCAAAACAAACGTTGAGAAAGGGTAGAAACAAAGATTAAGCGAGAACCGAAAGCTCATGCAGTTGGAAGACAAAGCCACTAGACGTGTCATGGCAGCTGAAAGACGTTTGCTCACAGCCAAGTTGAAGGAAGACAAACGTGTAGCCACTGAACAGCGCCGAAAAAATGCCCAAGAGAGAAAAGAAGCTGAAGAGCGAGATAAAGAGGCAAGGCGGATGGTCCGGCTCCAGAACGAAGAGCTGCGAGGTAAGAAGTCAGCAAAAAGGGCCAAGATGTAGATACTTTTTGTATGAAATTAGTTGTACCATACGGTGCGGCGATTTGACTCGGTCTGTCGCCGGGGCCGAAAATAAACAGCAACTTTTTGAGCTTGACATATTGACGTCAATTCGACGTGGATCCAGACTTCCTGCACACCAGGAGAACGAGGAGATCACTGGCTTTTACCAGATATACTTAGATCCCGGTGAAACCAATTATTTACATCAAATCGACTATTTTTGTGGAATAGTGCGGCGATTTGATTACACATACCCTTATAGTCGAGCAAAAAGACACGATTTTGTCCATGATAAGGCGAACTAATATTCCTGTTTAAAAATTGCGCTGCGTATTAATATAATAGTGGGCAGCTACGGTCGTAGATCAGTTTCAAAATCAAAATTTACTACCACTTCCAAAGACAATAGAGCTTATCTAATAGCGAGCACGTCTATTCGACAAGTGGTCGATTTGCTGAATCAATCGGCAGAATCCACCTACATAATCACTTGAGCTTGCTAGGTGCTTCTCTAATACCATGATATTCGTTTGTCTGCTTAACCTCGGTCGATTACCAAATGACTTGAGAATTGTTTTGGGTAATTTAATCAAGATTTGTGGAGGCACATGACGTCATAAGGATACTGCCCGTCAACGGTGTAACTCCCGAGGGATTCGCGAATCCCGTGGTTTTCAAGACTCGCATGTATTCTTGCTACAGCACATGATGGGTCAAAACGCTTTCGCGCACTTCTCGCGTAACTTCAGTTTAGAATGTAGCTCGTCTCCGAAAATGCTAGCCTTCATTTGCATGTTTTCAGCCTACCACTACAAGAGATAAAGTACAAAGTCACAAATGTAAAATAGTGTTTGAAGGCCCATTTTTGTAGGCAACGAGGCTCACGTAGGATCTCACGACGGATACCATACTTGTGTCACAGTTACTACTAAGTAGGGAATAGCTCGACCATGACTCCCCCTGCATCGTGGTTTCCAACGGTCATAATGATGAGTTTATACCATACCACCGATGCCTGTCAAAGAAATGCTTGTTCACTGCCAAACGTTGCTGAGGGCTGGAAATTCCAGAATTTCCGTTCTGAAAGTAAGTGAGACTTTAGTTCACTATAGCATTTACTATCTGCACCAAGCTTATTCAGCGCAAAACACCGAATCACCGTGTTTTGACACCAAGCAGCCTCTCGTTTTCCTAGTGAAAAGTGCGCATTAATCTGACCATGCCGAGAAGAGGCCACCGTTATGATTAATTTGTGATGGTGCAGTTCATCAGAAGACATCTTGGAAGTTAAGGCCACCAAAGATCTGCTGAATCCCCTGACGACTGACGTAAAAGTTGCAAGTACATTTCAGTTTTTTTTTTTTAAACACTTAAGTAGAAGAAAATAAAATCTTCTATGTTGCTCTCGCGATCGTCCTGGGTTCTTCTTCAACAGATTATTTGCGGATTTTGCCAATTGTTGGCACAAAGAAGTACGAAGTATTCGAGCTTACAATCGAGTTCAGGACAAGCTTTGGAGGCAATTTGCGATAACCAAGTTGAGTCCGATCAATTACGCAGAGTCCGAGGGCGCCTTGCCGTCAATGGGTTTTCACGTGATAGCCGTCCAATATCTGCTTCAACCATCGCTATCAAATGACTAAAAGCACCCCATGTACGCTTTGCCACCGACACGAACCGTCCAAACGTTCAAAAACATCAAGTACAAGAAGAAAGCGCAGCTTACCATAACGAAAACCGAGAGATATGGTCTCACCATCGTAAGCAAACTGTACAACGTCAACTGTGAAATCTTGCTGAGGTCAGCCTGATAATGCCGAGCGCACGCCATACCACCGTCACGCAAGTGTATGACTTTTTGGTTAGCCCTCAAACTTAATCGTTGTCGATGCCTTAATGAAATGCGTGACGAGCCCTTTGGCCACCAGTTCATCGTCTGATTACATGGAATCATCGTTTCTTACTTGTTCCACCGTGACCGAACCAAACGCCAAGCCGTCCGGTGCCGATCATCTCTTAGTGTTTGGGCTTCCAGCTCTCATGCCAACGTGCCACAACTTCTTTCGACGTTCAGGTGGGAAGTGGCTAGAAAGTTTGCGTCTTCCAGCTTCCAAGTCAACGCAAGATGCAACCTCAGCGCTTTTGTGCAGTTGTTACAATGCTGATGGCACTGTGCTCTGCTAGCACCAACTCATCGAGCAATACCACTCGGCTCGAGACTTCAACAAGCTTCACCCACGTCCGATCTGGAATTCGCGATGGCTCGGTAAGGAGTCGAGGCGTCAACCTCGGTGGTTGGCTGGTAGCCGAGCACTGGATGACAGCAGACGCAGCTTTCTGGCAAGGCGCCGAAGACCATTTCGCCAACTCCGGCGAGTACACAACTATCACGAAAGCGTCAAATCCAGACGATATCCGCGCCAAGCTGGGGGACCATCACGCAACTTTCATCACTGAAGACGACATCGCCCAGATCGCAGCGGCAGGACTCAACACGGTTCGAGTGCCGCTGGGCTTCTGGATTTTGGGCTACGACAACCACGACCCGTCCAACCAACACGAGTGGCAAGTGTATACACGAGGAACAATCGCGTACTTGGACCAGCTCATCAGATACTGGACCAAGAAGCACAACGTCGCGGTGCTGGTCAGTTTGCATGCTGCTAAAGGTTCTCAGAACGGAGCTGATCACTCGTCACCTGCAAGCCCAGGACAGCAGTTCTGGAGTCAATACCCGGAGAACGTGGCCAATACCATTGAGGTGGCTCGGTTTCTGGCTGAGCGGTATCTAAACGATGAAGCTTTCCTGGGGATTGGACTGCTCAATGAGCCTAATGGCAACACGGATGAAAAGGTGTTGTATCAATACTACAAGGATGCGTATCAAGCGGTGCGTTCGACTGGCAGTGACTGCGTACTGAGTATCATGCCAATGCTGCAGAAACAGAGTCCCGACGAGATGGTGGGCTTCATGGAGGCGCCAGAGTTCACGAATGTGTGGGTTGAGTGGCATCCGTACTTCATCTGGGGCTATGAGCACACACCGGACAATCAATTGGTCAATATCGCTGTTAAACAGGAGTACAAAGGGCGGGTGGACAAGTGGAACGCTCGTGCAGGTCACAACCGCTTGTTCATTGGCGAGTGGAGTGTGGCAACTGCGTCCAATATGCGTCGTACCAACCCCGATTTGTTCTACACGTTTACGACAGAGCAGCTCAAGGCGCACGAAGCGGCGGAAGGAGGGTGGACGCTGTGGTCGTGGAAGGTCTCAGCAGGCAACAATCGCGACCTGGAGGACTGGTCTCTGCAGAATCTCCTCGCTGACGACCGCCTCGGTAGAATTCTGCGTAACAGTTCGTAGGTTCGATGCGAGTGCCTTTAGATAATAAACTACTCAACAAACCACGTCGGACGAGTTGCTCCTGTTGAAAAGTGTGTCGGGCAGCAGATCGATCACCATTTTCTCCGCAGATCGGGACACAGCCTTGTCACAGTCTGGCGGACATTGCGTTTGCGGCTGGGGACGTTTTGGGGACCCTCCTCGCCACTCATCTCCGGTTGAAGAAATTTCTCTTGGCTGAACTATGATTCATACTGAAACCTAAAGAGATTTGTTAAACCAGTTCAAATTACAAAAATTGGCCCCATTTTTTTTTGATTCCGAATGCTGAAAACTTCTGTCTATTTCACCTTGTCCGGCGCCGACTTTCAGCCTGCAGTGTACCAGGAGCACTCGCCACGCAGCGTGTTCAAAGCGCATCGATGGCGCGCGCGCTGGCCGAACAGCTCCGTCTATTGTGGCGATTGCACAAAGCTCGCAAAAGTTCAAGTTGCCACCTCAGGTTCAAAAACCGGCCTTTTTCTCAACTGTGTGGTCCTCGTTGGATCGCAACCTTAGTTTACACAAGTAGGGGTGTCGCAGTATAATATCCAATTTATCAGTATGACATCCCTCCTACCTACCATCTAGCATTCACATGCTGGATCCAAGTTTACCTACGTCTCGACTGACCTCAGCCTCAGTTTCCCATCTGCGGCCCCAAGCCAAGGAGCGACCCCCTTTTAGATCAAGATGACGCAGCAGTGGCTCGCCAAGGCCGTGCGTCGTAGCGTACGCGCCAGCGTGTCCTCGGCACGCGTGGCCCCCTCGCGCCTGAGCGCCCCCAGCAACGTGGCAGCCCGTTGGTCGCGTGCGTTCTCGTCCACGCCGCACCCGAGCGAGACGTTCATGACGGGCAACAACAACGCCTACGTGGAGGAGATGTACTCGAGCTGGAAGAGCGACCCCAAGAGGTGCGTCATCACATTTTGCCAACGTTTTTAAAACGTTCTTGTGGCAAATGACCATCACTCCTTGCTTGTTTGCCACGTACTTTGCCACTGACTATTTATTCACTTTTTGCAACAATCGCTATACAGTGTGCACAAGTCATGGGACGTATACTTCCGCCAAATTGAGAGCGGCAGCGTGCCCGGCGAGGCTTTCATCCCGCCGCCGACCATCCAGCAGGGCGTGACGCCTGTACGTTCCGTTGGTGGCGCCGCAGCTTCGTCCATCGAGCAGAATGACGCTTTGGGCTTGAGTTACCTCATCCGTGCCTACCAGGTGCGTGGCCATGAGGCAGCCAACCTGGACCCACTGGGCCTGCAGGAACGTCCGGAGCTGCCGGATCTTGACATCAAGATGTACGGCTTCACGGAGAAGGACCTGGACCGCGTCATTGCCATCCCCAAGAACTTGTACGTATTGTATTATACATTTGTTGCTAAAATGTATACACTTGCGAGAATGATGGTTGATAATTTGCTAATTTTTCATTATTTTGCAGTTCGTCGGGAGTTTCTGGTTTCTTGGAGGAACTGGCCGATGGCAACAACGACATGACACTCGGCCAGATCGTCCAGCGTCTCAAGGATACGTACTGCAGCTCTATTGGAGTGGTAAGTGGCATTGACCACAAGATGTACTTATGAATTATTAACTTTTTTCTGACAATTTTTTCCCCTTTAGCAATACATGCACATTCTGGACCGTGAGCAATGCAACTGGATCCGTGCCAAGATGGAGCACCTGGTGCAGGACGAGGAGTCGAAGGAGAAGAAGATGCACATTCTGGAGCGTCTGGCCTTCTCCGTCGTCTTTGAGCGCTTCTTGGGAAACAAGTACAACACGACCAAGCGTTTCGGTCTGGACGGCGCTGAGAGTCTCATCCCTGGTCTCAAGTTCATGATCGACCGCGGTACTGAGCTCGGAATGGAGCACTTGGTGATCGGCATGCCTCACCGTGGCCGTCTCAATGTGCTGTCGAACGTCATCCGTAAGCCGATCCAGCAGATCTTCAAGGAGTTCCAGGGCACGCACATTGACGTGGAGTCTTACAACGAGCCCGATGTGGAGGACTGGTCCAACGCCGGTGATGTCAAATACCACTTGGGTACGTCGTACGACCGCACTTATCCGGATGGCCGTCAAGTGCACTTGTCGCTGGTGGCCAACCCATCGCACTTGGAAGCTGTGGACCCCGTTGTGGTGGGTAAAGTTCGTGCCAAGCAGTTCTACTTGGGCAACGACGCTGAAGCCGAGAAGAAGGTGATGCCGCTGCTGCTACACGGTGACGCGGCCTTCAGTGGCCAAGGTGTGGTGTACGAGACGATGCACCTGTCCGGTCTTGACAACTACGACACTGGTGGCACTGTACACGTTGTGGTGAACAACCAGATTGGCTTCACTACTGACCCCAAGAACTCGCGTTCGTCTCAGTACTGCACGGATCTGGGTAAGGCCATGGATGTGCCTATCTTGCACGTGAACGGCGACGACCCGGACTCGGTGGTTAAGGTGTTCGAGTTCGCGGCCGAGTGGCGTCAGAAATGGCGCTCGGATGTGATTATCAACTTGACGTGCTACCGTCGCTTCGGTCACAATGAAGTGGACAACCCGTTCTTCACGCAGCCGCTGATGTACAAGAAGATTGGCCAGATGAAGTCGGTGCTGGACTCGTACGTCGACCAGCAGGTGGCTGCCGGTACTGCGACTAAGGAGGAGTGCGACGCTATTGTTAAGAAGGTCTGGGACTTCTTCCAGAGGACGTTCGAGGAGACGGAGAAGTGGGAAGACACCAAGAAGAGCGACTGGCTGGCCAATCGCTGGGACTCGTTCAAGAGCCCCAACCAGCAGTCGCGTATTCGCTCCACGGGTGTGCACATGAATGTGCTGAAGCACGTCGGTGAGAAGATCAGTACTGTGAATCCAGGCTTCAACGTGAACCGCCAGCTGGACCGCATCATGAAGGCTAAGAAGACCACGATCGAGACGGGTGAGGGTATTGACTGGGGTACTGCTGAGGCTCTGGCGTGGGGTACGTTGTTGCTCGAGGGTAACCACGTGCGTATCAGTGGCCAGGACGTCGAACGCGGTACGTTCAGCCACCGTCACGCTGTGCTGCACGACCAGGAGACCAACGAGGAGTACGCGCCGTTGAACCACCTGGCTACCAAGACGATTCCGTCAGCTCCGCTGGAGTACAAGACCCCAGGCGGCGATGTCGTCCCGGACACGCAGGCCGAGTTCGTGGCGTCCAACAGTTCGCTGTCGGAGTTCGGTGTGCTGGGCTTTGAGCTCGGTTACTCGCTGGAGAACCCCAACGCTTTGGTCATGTGGGAGGCGCAGTTCGGAGACTTTGCTAACGGCGCGCAGATCATGATCGACCAGTTCTTGAGTGCTGGTGAAGACAAGTGGATGCGTCAGTCTGGACTTGTCATGCTGCTACCGCACGGCTACGAAGGCCAGGGTGCTGAGCACTCGTCGTGCCGTGTCGAGCGTTACCTGCAGAACACGGACGACGACCCGAATGTCGTGCCGCTCATGGACGAGGAGAACCGTATGCAGATCCAACACACGAACTGGCAGGTGGTCTACTGCTCCACTCCGGCTCAGTACTTCCACGTGCTGCGTCGTCAGATCCACCGTGACTTCCGCAAGCCGCTGATCTCGGTGCAGCCGAAGCACTTGCTGCGTCTGCGTCAGGCCTCGTCCAAGCTCGAGGACATGGCTGAAGGCACGCAGTTCCAGCGTCTCATTCCGGAGGTGTCGCCGGAGAAACTGGTGGACGACGACAAGGTGAAGCGCGTCATCTTCTGCTCGGGCAAGATCTACTACGAACTGGCTCAGGAACGTGAGGAGAAGGACATTAAGGACGTGGCTATTGTGCGTGTGGAGCAGATCGCGCCCTTCCCGTTCGACAAGGTGGCGGAACAAGCCGCGCGCTACCCGAATGCCGACATCAAGTGGGTGCAGGAGGAGCCGCTCAACATGGGCTTCTGGACGTACGTGTCGCCGCGCATCGAGACGGCGCTGACGCAGCTCAACAGCGACTCTCGTCGACCGTCGTTCGTCGGCCGCGCCCCCGCTGCCGCCCCCGCTACGGGCTACCACGCCGTGCACCAGATCGAGCAGGACCGCATCATCAAGAAGGCCTTCAAGTTGTAAGATTGCCGATGTGGTGAGATGAGAGGGAGAGACGATAGCACATAAACGCAAGCAGCCGAATCAGACTGCAGTGCCGGTAGAAGGACTTGGCGTATTTTGCTAGCTTTTGCTGCTTGTACCTGCTGGACATAAAAAAGTAAAAAAAAAACAACATGAAAAACAGATGGCAATAAGTTTTATTGTACTGCACTGCCTAATACTAGTACTAATAGTACTACGAAAGGAAAAGTAGTATTTGGAAAGGAAGAAATTATATGAGTGAAGTGAACTGCAATGAAATAAAAAGTAGTATAAATTTTTGATGTAGATATTCTAGCTTGAAGCTATCGCTGCCTAATTGCCCCTACTTGAATTTCATTTCCGCGTCCATGATGTGGCCGTTGCCGTGGGCCTTCAGGCGTTTAACACCAATGATGAGGCAAATGTTGACGGGGATGAGGAAGATTCCACAGAGGAACAACATGAGCGCGATCATCGTGATCGACGGCATGAGGTCGCCACAGAGCGAGTCGTAGATGGTCCAGAAGCCGTCGGCGATGAAAGTGCAGTACATGGCATCCTCGAAGTCGCCCACGTACTCGATGAGATGCGCGTCTAGATCGTCTTTGATGCCGTTGATGTCGGAGTTGAGTTTCTTGGTATTCGTCTCGAAGGTGTCCGAAGTAGCGGTGATTTCGCTGACGTCGGTACTCAATTGAGTCTTGAAGCTCTCCATACCGGACTTGAGGGTGGCTAGAGGGAAGATCACGGTGTACCTTTCTTTCATGAATGCCGAAAATAAGCATTGAGACGAGCTTGTACACGCGTAGGCCTTACCCTTAGCAGGCAAATTGTTGTTCGGATCATTGTTGGTACACATGGTGTCGTAGGTCTTGTAGTAGTTTTCGATGTAATCCTCCGCTGACCCTGATGGTTTTGGGTCACCGTTAGCCTCCCATGGATTGAGGAGGCCGTTAGTCGTTTGGTATCCCGGGCCGGCAGGATTACACGTTCCAGTTTTCTGAGTCGAGTAGTCGTTGAATGAAGTCACCACGGTGGTATAGGTGGCGTTGTCAAAGCCAAACGCGGTTTCATTGATGTTGTCAGTGCTCGATTCAAGGGCGTCCAGATCGGAAAAGTCGAACATGGCGCTCATATCAAGCTCTGGGAAATCGATGCCACCGCGAGCGAAATCCAGCTTGTCGGACAGGTTGAAAACATCCAACAGGGACTCGTTGTTGAAGCAGGCATCCACCGCTTTCGCCGACTCGCCAAGTGGTACCGTCCAGTTGCCAGCGAAGATTTGCGTAACTTCGCACGCATCTCCAAGCACCACACCAATTGCGAGCACAACGGCGCTGATGATGAAAACGAGGATGAGAATGATAAAACCGAGGAAGTACGCGATGTGCATGATGTTGGCTAGGAACTTGAGAGGTGTAAGTCCGAAGAGGATACCAACGAATCCAACGATAATGACCACCAGAGCAAGAGCAAACAGCGCCATGATAGCGTAGCCAAGTTGGTCTCGATAGCCCTGGAACTTGCTGTCGTAGTCGTCCACATCCTCTTGAGTTTTATCAACAGTATCGATGAGATCGTTCGCTGTAGTCACTTGGGTGTCCACTGCGCTTTGGACATTGCCTGAAATCTCTACCAGCTTCGTGTTCAGCTGCTTCTTGACATTACTCAGTTGCTTCACACCGGGCCCGGCGTTCTTGTCGACTTGAGTTGCGGCGGCACTTGCCTGGGTTCCGATGGTAGTGCAGGCGTCGCACACGTAACAAGGATTACCATTAGCATCCTCATTTGTCTTGGTAGAATCAGGAACGCAGCTGTCAGGGATATGAGGAGCAGTAGAGTACTTGTCTCCGAGATCGTCGAGCTTTGTTGTGAGGTCATTCAGACCAGTGTCGATGAAATCCGTTCCGTCAAGTTTCACCTTGATGTCATCGGCCGAATCGACCACCGTTGCAGCGATTTCTTCAAGAGGAGTGCGGATGTTGACGATCCAATTGCTGCCGTTCTCGAGAGTCCCCGACGTTGCATTGAACATGTCGTCCACAGCAGATAACATCGTACCGCGGTACAAGAACGCTGCCGCGGATACGACGATGACACCGATTGCAAAGAGAAAGAAGAACAGCAGTGGCAAGAACTTTTGCATGCACGTGTACCCCTCTTCACGCGGGAATCGACCGCCACATCGGTTGCAGCAGCAACGACAAATCAAGAAGAAGATCATCGTCAATAGACTCAGCACACCCAAGACGATGCCTGGGATCACAAAACCAATGACACCCGTAGCCCATTCTTTGATCTTGGCCTCGGCTGCTGAGGCGTCCATGGTGCTTTCCGCGTCTGCGTAGACTTTAGCACGACTCGTGTCTCCGTCGACGATCTCGGCCCAGTAGCAGTTCGGAGCCACCTCACAAAGTCCCTGCTTGTAGGCATTCACGGTCTCATCATCCGTCAACTGGGATATCGGCAACTTGACGGGATCACCGTTGTCGTCCTTGTACGCATTGTCGGCATCGCAGCTGACAAAGCGAACCGTGTTTTTATCCAAATCTTGTTCACACAGAGTAATTTTTACTGCAGTGATGAGGTCGTGATAGAACTTGTCGGTTCCTCCTCGAAGCTGCTTGATAGCCTTCCGAACGGAAGCTCCGACTTCATTCGCCTTGGCCGATGCATCGGCCTCGGTCGAAGTGGCATCAAGTCGTCGGTAGCTGATGAGAGCGCTGGTGTACGGATATCCTTGCTGCTGGATGAACGACGCCTTATTGAAGCCGCGCAACTTTGACATCACTGCAAACGACTGCTGTGTCGTCTGTGACGTGGCTAAAACACTAGAACACAGTAGTGTAAGAACGGCTAGTTGTCGGGACAAACCCATTGAGGGCGCTCGTCGAAATCCCGTTCCCATCGTCGCCAAAACCTCGAGCTGCTAAAAATCCGTGTCGACTGTTGCAAATTATTTGCTGGGTTGAGCTACTGAAGGCACCGAAGATAAAAGGAGAATGACCGGGCCTGCGACGGCCGCACTCTTGAAACTCACTACAGCAAGACTGCGATGCAACGGAAAACTGAACTCCGATAGCTCCAGCTGATATGCAAAAGCAGTTTATTTAGACAAACCAGCATGAGATGAGGGAGCAACATGCACCGACGTGAAAAATAGACTCGTCTGGGCCGTTGCATTGATTGCGTCGTGAGTAGCGAAAATAACTTTGATGCAAAACCATCGGACTGCTCGAAATAGTACTCTGCTTTCTTGTTCTGAAACAAAAATATCATAACAAGACCTTCGAAGTGAAAGATAATAACTGTTATTATTGTAACATTACTACACGAAGAGATGACCACTTTAGCAGAAATCTATGAAAAGTCTTTCACGCTACTCAATGAAAATACTCACTCTACAGCAGCGACACTGTTATAACTGGAGCGTTTACGACTGCTGCTGCTGCGTTTGTTCCTGATCACTCGAACTCGAGGTGGTAATCGTGGAGGAACTGCCAGCGCTGGACGGGAACAGGATCGCCTTAAGGTTCTCGTCACGCAGCACGGCACGCAGTGACCACATGTTGTCTCCGGTTTCGTCCTCGTAGATACGCCAGCTCCAGTAAGTCCAGCCTCCTCTCGCCTGGTTGACTACGTCGGTCTCTGCCTGTGCGAACTCGTAAAATAAATCCTGGTCGTTCTCGAATTTCCCGTTGGTAGCGAAGCACCACTCGCCGATGAAGAGGCGGTTGCGGCCCGAGACCGAGTTCCACTGCGTCACGTCGCCCTGGAAATTAACCTTGACACTTGTATTCACTAGATCCTGGTCGGACACATCGTCGTAGCCCCATACAAAGTACGGATGCCATTCAACCCACACATTTGTGTACGCAGGGGCAAGCATGAAATCCGTGAGTACATCTGGAGACTGTTCGTACAGTAATGGTGCCACAGTCAGCACGCACTCACTACCCGTCGCTCTGACTGCCCTGTACGCACGCTCATAGTAGTCGTACAGCACATCCGTGGTCGTGTCTCCATTCGGTTCGTTCAAAAGTCCGAAGCCAAGAAATGCGTCTTCGTCTTTGTATCTCTCGGCCAAGTATGACACCATGGTGATGGTATTATTGACATTTTCAGCGAATTCCGCCCAAAATTCGGATCCGTAGACGCTCGGCGATGAATTGTCCGCTCCGTTCTGCGAACCTTTGGCTGCGTGGATACTCAATAGTACAGCAACATTGTACTTCTTGGCCCAGTCGGTGATCAGCAGATCCAGATATTTCAACGTGCCATTCGTGTAAACTTTCCACTCGGCCTTACCCGACGGATCGTTATCATCGAAGCCGACGATCCAGTAGCCGATCGGGACGCGCACCGTATTGATACCGACCGCTGCGATCTCGGCGATGTCGCTTTCGTTGATGAACGTTGAGTGGTGGTACTCGAAATGCGAACGGATAGTATCCGGGTCGGTGGCTTTGGCAATGGCCGTGTATTCACCGTGACTGGCGTTGACCGCGCCCGTCCAGAAATCGGCCGAGCTGGTCATCCAGTACTCGGCCACGAGCCATGAGCCGAGGTTCACACCTTTGCTGGCTGTCTCTCCATTGCGGATACTATACTGGACGTGAGTCGATGATTCCGAGCCGGACGCTGAAGTGATGGTAGTGTTTGACGCGGACTCGGAACCTTGCGGTTGCACTGTGCCCATTAACTGCAGTACACTGGAGTTGCTTGCAGCGTCGAATGTGGTGGCAGACGTCGTAGCGACTGCGAATGCAGAGATGATAGAGGAAAGTGCTCGCAACATGTTGCTGCAGAGGTTCTGAACGATAAAGCAAATTGAAAAGTGGCGGGGATCGGTTGGATCGTGTGACTGAGCGGGGGACAAGTATGCAGAGGAGAGGCGATGAGGTGGCTCCATCGGTATCCTGCTGATCACCACTGGCCATGGCGCCATCCTCGTCAGTGACAGCTGTTAACCAAATTGGTGAAAACTTGCTAGTCGTCATGGATCGCAAAAGTCGGATGAAATCGAATAACCTGTCATAATGAGTGTAAGGAAACTCTATGTTCACTTTCTTGAGATTCTGAAAACAAATAACCTACTGATTATAAAAAACAATGGGTATTATCATGCTTCAACTCCGAATCAGAAATCTACAACGTCGGAATGCAACTTATACCTTTGTGACAGTCCATTTCTCTGGTCGTTTTCCGACCAGGCCATCACTACGCTGACCAGTGGCCGCACGCACAGATAAGCAGGAGCGATGACCAGTTTTCAACATCCTAGAACTTGTGGGCGATGCTCGATTTTATATTTTCTTATTAGTATTTCTTGACTGCTGCGGCACAAACAACAATTCGGTCTTAGTTAGCTCTATGTCGCACTGGGGAAGAAGATGGCGTTGAGCCGGTCATCGCGCAGCACACTGCGTAGCGACCAGGCGTTGAATCCAGATTCATCGCCGTAGATCCGCCAGCTCCAGAAGGTAAAACCCGCGCCAGCCTGGTACATGACATCCATCATAGCTTGACAGAACTCGTAGTATCCTTCCTGGTTGTCGGAGAATTTGCCGGCCGTGGCGAAGCTCCACTCGCCGATGAAGAGGCGGTTGTGATTCTCTCGCGCGTTCCACTGACTCACGCTGTTCTGGAAATTAACCTTGACGGCCGTATTGGTCAGATCGTAGTCGCTAGTGTCCTCGTATCCCCACACAAAGTACGGGTGCCACTCAACCCACACGTTCGTGTAACTTGGTGCTTGCATAAAGTTCGTCATGACGTCGGGCGACTGCTTATACAGTAACGGAGCCACGCTCAACACGCAGTCGTTGCCCGTCGCGCGGATGGCTGCGTACGTCTTCTCATAGTACGCGTACAGTTTGTCCTCATCCGTCGAGGCGTTAGGTTCGTTCAGCAGCCCAATACCCAGGAACGCGTCCTCGTTCTTGTAGCGGTCGGCCAGGAACGTGGCCATCGCAATCGTGTTGGCCACGTTCTCGTCGTACGCGCTCCAGTGCGACTTGCCCGGGTCGCTAGGGGACGAGTGGTCTGCGCCGTTCTGTGAGCCTTTAGCGGCGTGCATGCTAATGAGCACGGCGACATTGTGCTTCTTGGCCCAGTCCGTGATGAGGGCGTCTAGATACTTCAACGTGCCGTTCGAGTACTGCGTCCACGCGGCCTGGCCACTGGGATCGTCGTTGTCGAAGCCCACGATCCAGTAGCCTACGGGGACACGGACAGTGTTGAGACCAGCCGCAGCAATGTCGGCAATGTCACTTTCTGTGATGAAAGTGTTGTGGTGGTTTTTCAAGTTCGAACGGATGGTGTCCGGGTTGGCCGCCTTGGTGATGGCAGTGTACTCGCCCTTGCCGGCGTCGTCGTCGCTCACTCCTTGCCAGAAGTCGGCGGTGTTGGTCATCCAGTGCTCGGCCACCAGCCAACCACCGAGATTCACCCCCACGCTGGATACGTTGCCGTTGCGGATGCTGTACTGGATGTGGGTCGAATTCTGTTGCGACGACGCTGAACCGGAGGCATTCTGCTGAATCTGGCCTTGCTCCGTTGTAGAAGAGTTGGAGTTGATTGACGTAGGAGGCGAAGAGCTCTGGTCGTACTGGGAGACATCGTCGCTTGGAGCCACTTGAGCCACCGTGTTGGTGCCGTTGTCCCCACCGAGTGTCGAGAAGGTTGTGGCGTATGCTGCATTCACCGACAATGTCGCCATTGTGGTGGCCACATAGGCAAGTCGACGCAGCATGATTGAGTGCTTGGAGTGAGCTCGGGAGGTCGAATTGAATTGTGAGAAGCCGGACTGCGCTGTTCGAAAGCGCCATCACGCGAAAGCTTCCGATTAATGTCGTCGTCGAGACGGTGTCCAACAGACACCAGATAGTGTCTGGTGACTGTGGTGCTCCAGTGTCTGGCGATGCGCTTCCTTTCATTGTTCGAATACGGGATGAGTCACTTGCCGTCATAGCAGATGGCGACTGAACAAGATGTCGGATGTGGAAACCTTCGGGGACAGTGTCTACCAGCCTCCATTGAAAGTTCTTGGATGTAGTTCCTTTCATCGCAGACAAGGATGGGGACAAGATGCAGTAGTCTCGGAGTGAGGGTTCATCCTTGCGACTGGTGATACCACATGCCTTCAAACTCCTGTTTGAGGGCAGCAAGCGTCAGCAAAACGTCAGCAACTGCACAAGTTGACCAGAGGAAACACGTGCCTCGTATCAGATCCTAGCCGATGGATAGCGCTTGAACGTTCAGAAGAGTACGCTGCCACCTTAGCGCCGCTGCAAGATCCAAGCATAGACGCACAAAGCAGTTACTTCGACTGAAGAGATGGGGATGTGACGCTGCAGAGTGATCGCCTCCACCCACATGTCAAGAATCTAGCTTGGACTGGTTGCGTAGTCATGAGTTTTGAGCGCATATTATGTCCCGTGCGTTCTTGTCAAGCTCTGCCGACGTTCCTAAGCTATCTGCGCAGCATGGTGAATAAGGGATCGAGTTGAATGCCCCACGCTTTAATATTCTGTAACTTAGACAATTTAAATATTTGCCGAGCTCTTCACAAGCAACCCCAAGAGAAAGACAAGGCCATCAACCACGGTAAAACAATTGCGGCGATGCCCAGTTGTATCGGACAGGACTAGACAATTGTATTCTCATCAAATTCTCACAGACTGATAATTTTTACCACTGTGATCCCGTCTTCACAAAGCCTGCAATTGCTGCATCACAACAGCAAAAACTTCTTCACAAGGCTGAAGCTCCTCGCGTGTGTACGTCTGCTCCATCAGCGAATTAAGATTTTCCACCGCATCCAGCAGATTCCGCTAAATCAATACGAATAAGCACCAAAATGTTAAAAATTCTAGTCATCAATACCAACATCATGAACTTTCCTCACCTGTACGGGTTTAAACAAAATCGTCTCGGTTGATGCGTTGCGAAGGTAAAGGCGAATAGTCTGCAGAATATCTGGTAACGTTTCACGCAGCTGATGCGAGACACTTGTGAGCACATTGTTAACCTCCGTCGGTGTAGTGAACGCACACTGACGGAAGTCTAGTGCCGTGGCTTTCTGGGATTGCTGCACTTGAGCGATCTGCTTCATCAGTGCGAGTAGTGGCTGAGCCAACTGCTGTAGCACAATCTCGATGAACGCCGTGCAGCTCTTCTTAAGCTCTTGTTCCAGCTCCTTCTTCACATCTGCCGTCGTCTCTTGGATCTGAGGGATGCCACGAGTAAAGAGACCAACAATCCCATTCGGTCCAGAGAACCGGAACAGCGTCGACGCGTCTATAAGCAGCTCGTTCATGGCGTCTGCGCTGCTGGTGAAGTCCAGCGCCTTGCTCCGTTGTGCGAATTGAATCTCGAAAGGTGTGATCTGTTCGCGTAGTGTAAGTAAATGCTTCACCAGGAAGAGTGAGCCGTGCAGACCACCCTGAGTCGCTGTGATGTCAGCCGAAGCCATTTTCAACGACGCCGCGCAGATCTGAATAGCGTCCTGTGCTAGCTCCTCGAAAATCTCCATCTTGACGAAGTGATATCCCTTCGATAGACACATCAACGTGTGCTCCAGTGACGGATACCATGTGGCATACAATGACGCACCGGCCTGCTCTGCGGCTACCAGTTTGGCTGGATAGTCAAGGTCAGCAGGAGTGGGCACAAAGCCTTCAATCTCGTCGCGGATGTACTTTTGCATGCACAGGATGAGTCGCTCCTGAGCGTCTTGGATCATACGATGCATCACTGGCTCTGCGTATCCGACGAGCGCTACACGAGGGGTAATGGCTGCCTCAATCACCTCGCTTCTTAGCACTTGAATGACTTCACACAAAACCTCCAGATCCTTCTGGGCGAGAAACTGAGGTCGCACTGTGTTGTATAGTAGTCCACTCAACTGGAAGATGAGGCGTCTACAGAGGAAACAGTCAGCGGAATGCACTAGCTAGAAACGTACAGATATACATACTCGAATGCGTTTTCGTTGTCTTCTTCACCTTGAGCGTCCTCTCCAAGACTCATATCAACGCCAGAGAACGTGAAGAGTTCGTCACTTGGATCGTGGCCGAATAACTTAAGGAACAGTCGAAACTCGGCCTCGCACACCTTCAGTAGTTGAGCACAACTCGCACGGAGCACGTTGACGATGTCAGACGTTTGAGATACAGCGTCCAGCCATGCTCCAAGCACCGGAGACAACAACTGCACTCGCTGAATAGCATACGCGTCGGCTACTTCTCCCAGTACACGCAGATTCTCGGCGCTATCTTGTGGTTGAGTGTTCAGACGTTCGAGTTGCTTCGCCACAGCAGCCAGTGCCGGCGCCACGAGCTGGAAATTCACATAGTAGGGCGAAGTTTCATCCAGTTGCGCCACAAACGAGGTCGCCACGCCGCTCTGTTGTGCAGCCAGCGTGTCCTTCTGAACTGCCTCATACACGGCATCTTTTGCAGCCTCCAGGCCACTCAACGCATAGTCTTTTAGCCCCTGAATGCCCCCCGATGCTAGTGTCTTGTAAGCTTCAATAAAACACGCCGAGTCCTTGTACTCTAAGTGTTGCGTTAGATACACTATACACTCGTCGATCTTCTCCAATGCCTGTTCAAACGTTGGAGTTGTGGGGTCAATTCCCCGTCGATGCTGGAAAACCTGCACCGCCTTGCTGGAATCCGTCGAAACTGAAGAAGTTCTAGGTCTGGATGTTCTCTCCATTAGGACGTGGCCTGCAGATCCGCTAGAAGGAGCAGCGAACTTGACGCCGAAGCCTAAGGCGTGGGCTACGTCGTCTATGGCTGTAAAGTGAGGCATGGGGGCGGCAATGGCTGCCACTCGGGCGTCCAGAGCCTCCACTTGTTGCAAGACGTCCTCGAAGCTCCGATACAACGACTGCGTTTTGGCAGCGACTTGGACGTGACTCGCCTCCATTTCGGCCACCAGCGCTTGGGAAGCATGAGCATGGGCGTACAAAGAGGTCCATTCAGACATACACTGGTCCACGTGAGAGGACAGATGGACGAACGAAGGGTCCAACTGGACGGAAGATTTATTGTTACGCGAAGACGAGTTCTGACGCTGCGCAACGAACTCTCGAAGCGTCTCGGGAGCCTCTGGATGCCGTTGCGATCGCAGAAGCGATGCGTGTGTCTCCGCCTGCGTTTTGAGCTGCACTTGACGCTCTAGAGAGTGCAGAAGCGCGTCCTGCGCAGCGGTAAGAGGCGTCTCCCGCACGCCATGGGGAGCCCCCGACGGTGCCATCGTTGTCAATTTAGCAAAGCGGATGGATACATCCGGATATACGGACTTGTATATACGGGTGTATCATCCGGACATCAGAGATCTGATTGGCTGGGATGGCATTCAGACGAAAAAAAACCATTAAAAATTTAATGGCTTTTTTTCGTCTGAATGCCATCCAACGGCAAGCGACATTTTCATCGAAAGTTCTAGCACAACTTAAATGGGAATGGAAAAAAAATATTTCGAGAGATCTGATTGATCAGGATGGTATTCAGACGAAAAAATGCCATCCACACATATTTTAATTACGCAGCGAAAGTTCTACAAGTTCGTTGGTCGGTTGAGCGGGATCGATCAAGTAGTGTCTTGCTGCGCAACTGTTGCCAGCCAGCCAAGCAAAATGTCAATACGGCGCACCATTGTCCTCAAGTCTGTGGAGGCACTACTCCACAGACTTGAAGACAATGTTGTTACGGGAGCCGACTTGGTTTTCTACGCGTTGACGGGCATTTGCTTTTTGCTGCGCTCTCATCTGGCTCCATCGGCTGCACAAGCCGGTGTGAGTCGTTATCGACCGGAAGTGAGTTCGTTCGTGTCCGTCTGCCATTGAATGCGTCAAGCTGCTGATCGCCGCTGGTATTCCTGTCCGCCACCGTACCACTACAAGCTACGCATTCTTACATACAAAGACGATATTTTCGTTTCGTCTGGAAGTGCCAACCTGGCTAGTGCGGCATGGAATCGCAATGACGAGCTTCTTGTCGAGACCATGGGTCCTCCAGGTCAGTGCAGTTTGATTATTATAGTATTGCTATTTCGTCTACTTTTTTTAAAGGGTACGTGGCAATGTTTGAACGGTTGTTCGAGCAGAGCCTGAAGACCGATCCTGACTTCGACCTGACTCGAACCAAGTGATTTCGGGAGTGAGGCTACCGGTTACTCCTATGCACGATCAATGCCGCCTGCGTGTGAATCTAAGAGACAAAACATGTAAGTGGCCACGAGTTCGTGGTGCACAACGAGCGCCACGACAAGTCCATCGTCAAGGCCATGATGACAACCTACAGAGGGGAGATTCTTCCTCTGCGGACTGGTAACACTCTTCTCAACCGGTTGCAACGTCTTCGCTCCAGCTGTCCTGAACCACGTCGTCACGGTGTTTGCAGCACCGCAGATCGATATGCCCAACCTCAGTATCTGGCTAGGTGTCTTCTTCGCCTCGAGACTTGTGAACGCTATCGTGATATCGCACATGCATTTCTACATCGAATTAATCGCGCTACGCCTAACGGTGACACTCAAGGCGCTACTGTTCAAATAGGCGAGTGCAAGCCCTGGCAGTTCGAGCCGCGCCCACTCGGTGCCGAGGACGTCGAGATCAAGGTCACTCACTGCTACATACCGTTGACAGCGGATGGGGTCCCACGCCGTACCCGTGCGTCGCTGGACATGAGACTATTGGCAACGTCGTTGCAGTCGGTCGGAGGGTCAAGAGCCTCGCCGTCGGTAACCGCGTCGGTGTTGGTGCGCAGGCATGGCGTGTCTAAACCGCGATCCGAATGATCACTGCCGCGACTGCGCTGACGGCGAGGACGCCGTGTGCGATCAGGGCGTCTTCACTATCAACGCCGCCTACAAAAACGGTTCCCCATCAACAGGGTGGCTTTGCGGACTTCATCCGCGTGGACAACAACTACGCCTTCAAGATTACAGACGCTCTGCAGTCGGACGCCGCCACTCCGCTCATGTGCGCTGGTGCGACGGTGTTCAAGCCGCTGAAGCAAGAGGACGTTAAGTCGGGCGACCGCGTGGGTGTGATCGGCATCGGTGGTCTAGGCCACATCGCCATCCAGTTCACCTGCCGTCCCCGTCGCCTTCCCTCGTTCGTCGAAGAAGGAGAAGGAGATCCGTTCTCTAGGAGTCGAAGAGTTTTACGACTTGATCAACCCGGATCGCCAGAAGAAAGCTGCTGGGAGCGCCGACTTCCTCCTGCTTACCGCTGATGCCAAGGACGTGGCGTACGATCTGTACCCGAGCCTGGTTTACATGCGCGGCACGTTCATCATGGTGGGTCTTCCTCCTAATCAGGTCAAGATCACGCCGTGGTTCCTGGTCCCTCGTGCTACCCGTGTACGAGGCAGCGCTATCGGCAGCATCCAGAACATCAAGGACATGCTTGGCGTGGCGGCGAAGAACAACGCGCGGCCGATCATCGAGAAGATGCCGATGAGCGAGGTGAACAAGGGGCTGGACAAGGTTCGTGACGGCAGCGTCCGCTACTGCATCGTGCTCGTGAGCTAGGCCGTAGAATAGTTTGCTGTAGAAGTCCACTGGTGGGTAGGTTGCTTTCTTTCATGAAGATATCACGAGGGTGTTCAATGAAGTCAACGACTTCATAACTTTCTCGCTAACATATAGACACCGTGCACGACTCCTTTGCCCTATCGGTGAATGGCATAAAACGATAACTCAGTACACTTCGTTTCAAATATCTGTTTGCTGAGAGAAAAAAATCTCCATATGTAACTACATACACGATCTGGAATCTGGAACACCAGCAGTGAAAAGCCTTACGATCTGTTCTTGGGGCTGGTTCGAAAGCAGTGCTTACTGAGCTCAGTAAATTCGTTCGTCATTGACGAGTCACGGTGGATCCTGTGACTTATCTGCCTTCCAGACCAACCAATTTTGACGGCCAATTTCGGCTTCGTCCACAACAGGTACATAGTGTAAGAAAATGATGCTAGCTTATAGAATTAGAGAACACGTTTTTGCTTACAGGAATGCGGAAAATTATCTCTGCCCTGAAGGACCGCTTATACCATCATAACATCCTCATCAATAGTTTAGATTGGGCTACATGCATTTCGAAGTTCAATAAGAATGCAAACGACTGTGTACAAAAACTGACTGTACTGATATCACTGGAATCTTGTATCAGTTTAAAGGTGCTTCGAGTGGTGGGGTTGCAGTTCTGCTGAAATTGCTACGTAAACGCCATTGCGGGTGGCGGGACACAAGTTCGAAGTCCTGGTGATGTCGGAATCCTTAAAATTCGGGTCATGCAGAGTAAGCAGATCCCGTAGCAAATCCGTTCGCTCACCGAGAGCTTTTGCTATGTCTTTGGATGACTTGGTTTTGCCTCGACACGACTGCGCTTTGTCCAGCATCTTCTTCACAGTGCTGATCGCCGTCATCATATTACTTGAGTCTGTGCATCACAACCGATACATTAGGTCAGTACAAGTTAACACAAAGCTGGAAGCAACGACGTACTTTTTAGCGCTTCACCTACTGCAGCTCCGATAACAGCGGCGGTGATTGCTGCAGAGGCAACCGAGAGCAGCAATATACCAACCTAGCCGAAGAAGCCATCAGTAACTCTGAGACTCTTCACCAAATAAACGTTTCTCCCTTCCCGACGATTTGAGTGACCCAGTTTCGCTGCGAATCTGGATGGGTTTATGAAAGCATTTTCTCGAAAAATCGCTATGGAATGTCAATTTAATTGTCGACGAATTTTCGTCCAGAAAGCAGGGAACAGAAGCTTTTCACCGTCCTGTACAAGTTTTGCGAGGAATTTCAGCTTTCGTTTTGTTTGTAGATCGTTGAGCATCCCAGCCTCATTCCACGCCTCTCGAATGAACCATTGAAAATCAGGAGGGATCCACACCATAGTTCGGCGTAGATCTTCCTCCCGCTGCGGATCCCCCTTCAGACCATTGACATCGCGGTATTAGTTTGGATCGTCAAGGATGCTATGCTCGACAGCACCAAAGGAATCCCGAATAGCTTTTCTTCAAAATTAGTTCCATGGATACAATAAAGTGTTGCATCTCCTCCCAAACCACCTCTTTTGTTGCTGCCACCACTTCAATGATGAGATCATCGTAGTTGCTGGTGTAATCGGCGACGAAGTAGATCAGAGCCCAAAACTCGCCGTAAACGAAGTACTCAAATGAGTTCGCGTTGACCTGTTGAATGACGTCGGGGCGATAGGACTGCACCACGAAATTCACATAAATCTCCTTCGACGTCTCAGCATGCAGCGAATATTTCCATGTGGTGACTTCCTTCCCATCGACAAAATTCTGTCTTAACACCGACTCTTACCAAGTTGAAGCGCATCAGCAATCGCTTAACCCC